AGCTCCCACTGTTAGCCTTAGCTCCCACAGTTAGCCTTAGCTCCCACTGTTAGCCTGCTCCGTTTGTATTCTGCCCTTGTTTTTAGAACCATCTGTGAGACTCTGAAAGGCCAAACATCTGTACAGCTCCTATCATCTGAATCCTGCCGGGGGCAATCTGTTGTCCATGTCGGCCCGATGAGCTAATTTTAGCCCCGGTGAGATTAGATTAGTATCTGTCTGTGTGTGCTCTCCGAACCCAAAGGGCTGAAACACCACACTTCACACGGTCGCTAAAAATAAGGGATCCTCTCTACTGAAACAAACACTCGGGCATTAACCGATCAACTCGATATCGGTCAGAAAATGGACGCAAATGGACGGAGTGGACAGGTAAATGGAGCCCTGTTCACGACCAGCTCCGCCTGACCTTTGACCTTAGTGTCTGTTCACAGCTGAGCCGTTTATGACAAAAGTGAGCTGGAGATCCATTAGCTGCGTTTTAATTTTAACACCATTTTAAATTTAATTTTAAATCTTAAATAAAAATGTATTCTAATTTTGATAGTACTACTATTCTGTCCACCTTCCTTTTATTATTATTATTATTATTATTATAATGATTATTATTATTATTATTATTATTATTATTATTATTATTATTGTAATATATTTTTTATTTTTTTATTTTTTTATTTTTATCATTTTACCTTGTCCTATTCAGCAGAAATTAAATCTGAGTATTCGGAGTGCTTTGCTGAACATAATTGCTTTGTTAGTGAGAAGCCCCCCTTGATTACCCAAAACTGCTTTATTTTTTGTTACCAAACTTACATGTGTCCAATAATGCTGAACCTCAAAGAGGGAAGAAAGAAGAGCAGTGGAAAGAAAGGATAGAGATCCTTTAGACAGAAAGAGAAAGGGAATAAAAAAGAAAGAAAGACAATAAGACCCTAAAACCAGCTACTCTGTCTGTAAAAAGGAGACTATTCCTTGTGGACAAATCCGGGTGGAGAACCTGTAGGAGCTCCTGCAAAAAGACACAAGGAAGACCAAGTCCACTGTCCTTTTTAAGGAAAAAATGGACTCAGGCTCTGCTTAACAGGAGAATATTACAGTGGTTAGAGCCTTTCATGCACGTGTGAAGAAGCTGCACAGGTTTGCACGGTGCAGATGTAATTACCTTCAGGGAGGAGGTCTCTTTCTTTATTTGTGTCTATAATAAGAGACAGTTTTACTTCTCCTCTTCCTCTGTTTATTCCAAACAGGCTGCTGCTCTTCGGGTATAAATCGGACGGCCAGAGGAGGCAGATGTGTTGGTTTTAAAAAACAAAAAAGATTTATATTCTTACAGAGAATTTTGCCTTCATCACTGGTGCATAATCCCTTCAAGGAAAGCTCCCTTTCAGCTTCTATCTGTAAAGATTTATCCTGGAGAAAAGGGTCACTTCTGTTCCTAAATACGGGAAAACCTTTGGCTCCTCTTGTGAAGGAAGTGGTCTTAGATTTAGAGAAAAATGGGGATTTTCTTAGACATTTATTACAGATGGGCGTGAACTTCTGTGATGATTGTGTCACAGAATGCTTTTAAGGTCAGGATGGTTTTCTGCTTCAGTATCACAGAGCGTCATAGAGGGGCTTTTTCGCCGTTTTATAACAGAAAGAGGGACATTTTTAAGCACAGCTTCATTTAAATTCTGATCTAATTTGTTTTAAAACAAAGTAACACAACTCCAACAATGACAATATTAACGATTACACAAAATGAGACTGAAAACCGCTTTGAAAAATGAAATTTCACTCAGCCTTTTGACAAAATACAGCAAAAAAAAAGGCATTTTCAATCCTTAAATTACAGGTCGAACAGCAGCTTTGGAACAGTGAACCAATGGTGACGATGAACCCAAACAAACAGCAGATACAGCCATGTTGGATGAAAGGTAGACTGTGAAAGGAAACCACCTGATTGCACCTTTAGTCCATTTACTAACTGGGAACATAAGGGTGCCTTTGAGGGCCAAAAGGGAACAAACATTTGAATGCAGATGTGCTGGGATGCTGCGGAAAAGAAATATGGAGAGAAGGTTGATGGCGAGAGGCTGTTTTTTGCTCCTTTGCCATCGTACAAAAGGACAAATTTGCAAAATTTTGGTTCAAATTTGTCCATTTCCAGCTTTCATAAATAACTTCAATCTTGGAAATTAAGTGATTTACCCCCTAAATATATGGGGCAGAGACTCTGGGTGTTTGTTTTTCTCATTTCTATTTTAGAAACAGAGCCATTTCTTTTGGATGGAGTTCAGCTTGATTTATTTATGTGGCACAGTTTCAGGAAAAAGAAAAGAACATCCACAAGGTATTTGAAAGAGAAAGTGAATGCGGGCAGTCCACGTTTCAGTTCTAGTAAAAAGCAGGTTAACACATCAGATCTGTATGTTTTTTATAGTATATTTTTAAAGATTTACACCCAGAAAAAACAATAGAGAGCCCTTCAGAACGGGAGACGAGGACTTAACAAGCACAGAAAAACCAGACTGAAGACTAATGTGTGTCACCGCTGGATGTCAGATTTAAGAATAAAGAGCAAAACCGAGGCTCCAAAACACATGTTACAGATGCATTTCTACAAGAGGAGAATATTTCTGATCAGTTTCGATCATTTATTTCTGCAGAGAGACCCGGGGAAAGTTTTTTTGGGGGTTTTCATCGTCGTTTTTGGCGCATGCAGAAGAACGGCTGTCCAGATTTAGAGAAACAGCTTGAGGATTAATTTTTTTCTACTTTAATTAACACGCAGACTGCAGCAAAGCTGTTGGTTCGGCAAAAAAAAAAAATATTTTTCAGAATCTTTTGCTTTTTAACAGGTTTAAAGTGAACGCTTACGTCGGAGGTTTCGTCCTTTTATAGTTGGAAAAGTTCTTCTTGGAGTTAGTTTTCATACTTAACCCATGTATTTAATTTAATTTAATTTAATTTGATTTAATTTAATTTAATTTAATTTAATTTAATTTAATTTACATTCATTCAATTACTTTTTTCTTAATTAATAAAATTATCTTAATTTAATTTAAATTTAATTTGATCTAACATATCAAATCAAATTTGATTTTTGTTTATTTCATTTTATTTGACTCTTCTCTTCACTCTCTAAGTGGTATCTGTGTATGTATTCATGAGTGTATTCTTATCTGTTTTTAATCTATTTAAAACTCTTAAAAAACAAACACTGATTGATTACTAGAGTCATATCTTACAGTGCTGGCTTTGTAATAGCCACATTTTGACCAAATGCACATCAGAAATGCTGTTTGTGGTCATGACTCTCTTGTTTTTAACCCATATGAGCATCGTATGAGTCCAGGACAGATTTCCCAGCATGACAAGAGCAGCGTGTCGTATCAAACCATTTATTGTCCCAAAGATAAGCTGGATGTGACGGAAATAATGGGATTTTTGCTCACTTAATTATGGATTTGAACATCTTTTGCCAGTTTGATGATGCCTGTTTGTGCAGATAAAAATAGATTAAACCCCCCAATTTGAGTCTCTGTGGTCTAAAAGTAATTAAGTGTGTTCTACAATAGTAATGTTCTCTGTTTGTGTTTCCCTCCAGCCCTCGAGTACCACAACCTCAACACCTCCGCGGCGACTAAGAGCTTCTGGGTGATAACAGGTCGGTTTCCGGGACCCCCCCCCCCACCACCTCCTCTCTTTGGCCGTTTGGTGTCAGGGGGAAGCCGACTGATGTATAATTCACAGCTTCCTGACCGGGGCTTCACATCCGGGAGCCAGATTGATAGGTCCTCTGTTTAAGTGTGTTGGTGTGTGTGTGTGTGTGTGTGTGTGTAAGTGTGTGTGTGCGCGCAGGTGTGTGTATATTTGTGTGTGAGATCCCGTCAGAGCTATAATTCACTGCAACTCTCAGGCTGGGCTGCTGTTAACCCTTTAAAGCCTGTACAACAATAAAACAAAACAGAATTTTTTGTTATTTTTGTTTCAAGTCTTTATTTGGCCTTTTAACAAAATATGTAAAAAGAAAAAAACTAAATTAAATTTTAATATTAATAATTTATTACTATGCGATAAGTCAAGATTATTTTTTGTGTAGTTTTCTGCCCCCTGTTATCAGGTGTATCTGATTGTGTACAATAGGATTTTGAGCAAAGTTTTTACCAATAAATTATGCAAAAGGTGTCAGACGCAAAACATTTCAGAAACCGTATGCATCAAATATGATACATTTAGCATTATAAGGTTAACGCCTCTGGGAACGAACGGCAGCCATTTTGTTTGTTTTCTTTGCATTTTTGTGGGCCGAACCTGCTCAGAAAGTATTTGTGAAGCCTCGAGGTTCAGATTCCAACATTTGTCACAATATTGGAGCAAAAGTCCTCATTCATCCCTCCTTCATTCCTTCCCTCCTTCATCCCTCCTCCCTCTCTCTCCCGGTTAAACCCCTCCGTGTCTTTTCTCGTCTGCCCACAGTGATCCAGGACGTGGACAGCTCCTCCCTGGAGGCTAACTACCAGAGCTTTGCCAGCCTGATGGAGCAGAGGCTGGCTGAGCTCTTCCTGGTGGCCGGCAGGCAGGGCCCCCGGGCGGCCAGGGCCCGGAGGGCCACCACTGTGGGGGGCTACACCGTGCAGGTAGGGGGGAATTACGTCATCAGTAATCTGGAACAAAGAGATTACGCTTGGATCGACTTTTTTCAAGCCTGATCCAAGAAAATCTGGAGTCATTTTCTATTTTTTTTGGGCCGTTTGATAAGCTATGAAAGAAAAACTTCAATCATTTCAATCAATCAAACTTCATCATTTCGTATCTTTACCATTGATTACTAAGTTATAAGTCTCTGTTTCTATCATAAAGGGATGTAAAAGATGTCAAAAACTGTTTAATTGTTTTAATAAGCCTTCTCCAAACTGGGTTAAACTTTAAGTCCCCACACTTTTATAGGGAGTTCAAACGGCCCAAAGTCCATTTTTTTGGGCCGTTTGATAAGCTATGAAAGAAAAACTTCAATCATTTTCGTATCTTTGCCATTTATTACTAAGTTATAAGTCTCTGTTTCTATCATAAAGGGATGTAAAAGATGTCAAAAAATGTTTAATTGTAGGGTTAAGTTTCCTCAAAACTGGCTTTAACTTTAAGTCCTCACACTTTTATAGGGAGTTCAAACGGCCCAAGGTCCATTTTTTTGGGCCGTTTGATAAGCTATGAAAGAAAAACTTCAATCATTTTTGTATCTTTACCATTTATTACCAAGTTATAAGTCTCTGTTTCTACCATAAAAGGATGTAAAAGATGTCAGAAACTGTATAATATTAGGG